CAACAATGAATTTAATTAATGCCTGTGTTACATGTACACCGTGCTGGGTGGATTTTCTTCACTGGCACATCCCGGTCAGCATGCTGAGTGCTGTGAAACACTAAGATAAGGATACAACTTTAAATAAAAAAGGGGCATTTTCAGTGTTTGTACTCTGTGTTTAGGTTCAAGTGTCCCATCATCCCACTGCAGCGCCCACAGAGGCATGTGTCCACACATTCAAGGTTTATGGAGGGCGACAGTGAGGCATCACTCCCTGACCAGCAATCTATTACTCAACTGAGCCCTTTCCCTCAGCACTGCCTCCAAATTACATTTCTGCTGTCGAGATGCTTTTCCCCTCCCCTCCCACATCCGCGGGGTTGTTGTTTGGACAGGTTGCCTACTGATTGCCTTGCTGCTGCTGTGATTGAACAAGGATGCGGTGCATCTCTGAGGCCACGCGGGGCTATAGGCTGCATACCAAACGGGCAAGCAGCATGCGTTTGGAGAGCTTTGGATGAGAGCGCCATCAGTGAGTGGGAGGGAGGGAAACCCCGCACAACACTGCACTACAGAGATCAGACATTCAGTGCAGCAGCATGGAGGAGCTTTGTTTCAGCACCTCAGGCATCAGCAGTTAATCTGAATGTAATTGTGCACCAATCTTAAACACAATATGACTCGCGCTTTAAAGGACGACAGTTTGATGTGTGAATCTCCATAATTCTTTAAGACATCTGTGAAAATATGAGTAAATGAACAATGCAGAGAGACGTCGTTTAAGAGGCAAAGAGAGTTCCCTACAGAGGCGGAGAATAACAACTAAAAAAAAAAGGATTTCAAGTTTCCAGGCTTTCTAGGAAACTGCAAGCACATTATGTATTTTTAGCCCCAGCTCATTCATATGTCTCATTAACAGAGAGATGAAGCTTGAAATATTAGGGACTGCAAGTATGAGATATTTCCAAACTGGTAAAATTACAAGAAAAGACTGTATCAAAATAAAATCTATCACTAACCCTTCTGCAAGAAATCAGTTCACTGTTTGTTTAAATCTGTTTCAATATGGTAAAAAGCTGTTACAAAAAACAAAACTATAGACTTTATTTAGCCAGATTTTATGTCTTTTGTGTGATTTTAGGCCCATTGTGTTAAGAGAATATTCAAATATTTAAAAAATAACTGTTAAGTCAGACATGTGAGGGTGAAGAATATTAATGCATGACATATTGTTATTACTCGGCTCATATCAAGTTTATTTTGCCTTCCTAAAGCTTCATGCCACCATCTTCCAAATCCATGTTCTGCACTCCACTTAAATTAAATCCATTATATTAAAACAGAGGTGAATAAAACTGACCATTTGAAGAGACATTGACTTTATGTCCTCTCCTAAACTTCTGGTTTCACTAGAGCTTTGTGTGCGTGTTGCTGTAAAGGGAGGGCAGGGTGAAGAGGGAGAAGCGACAGGAAGCCATTTCACAAAGAAAGTCTTGAACACATTACTATAAATTTAGTCCTAAAGAGGAAATTTTAAGGAAAACAAAAGTCACACAAAGGTTAACATTGCTTTAACTGCTGAGCTCATATCCATCCACTTAAGGTCACTAATTACGGTACTTCCAATCGCTCGATGCAGTCTAAACAAGGCTCATCTGCTGGTCGCTTTGTGAAGGAGATAAATGGAGGAAATAAACTCGCTGGTGTGCAGTATGCATTATGGTGGGTGGATATAGTTCCATTAACTAGTATACATTAACCCGTTCCACTTACCTGCCCCAGTGACAACCGTATCAGTTACTGGTGATCACATGAAAGGGACTATATGACGACACAGCCTAGAGATCACCACATGTTGTTTTTCACCCATAGACATAAACATGAATGTTTGTTTAAGACACTTTCTGAAGACAGAAGCCATGGCCATCTTTTATATACAGTTTATGGACAAAGCCAAGGGAATGAATTAAATATTTTATGGATACAGCAAGTCAGGTGTGAGGCTTAGCTACTCTTCTTTTATCCAGCACTATAACCTTCAACTTGAACATTTTATCATACAGCCTAAGAAATCCTTACTCCAGCTTACTCCCACAGTTCAAAGACATGTAGTTAGTGACGTTAGTTTAACTGGTGATTTTTAATTGCCCATTGGTGTGAATGTGAATGGTTGTCTGTCTCTCTGTGTTAGCTCTGCGACAGGCTAACAACCTGTACAGGGTGTACCCCTTGATTCGAACTATGGTAGCTGGGATAGTCTCCAAAAACCCTCCCTCCACTCCCTCAGGACCCTGAATCGGTTAGGCAGACAAGAATGGAAGGAAGCGTAAGAAATCAGAGGACTTTGGCTCTCAGACTCCAGAAAATATCTTCACATATTTTCTCATGTAAAAAAAATAGAAATGATTATGAGCACACCAAGTTTAGATTGAGGCTTTAAATGCTGCACTGAGCAACATTTTACCATCTTCCCAAAGAAGCTTCACCTTCTTTATCTGTAACAACAACAAGATCTCACAGCTCACGACAACGCTGCGAGCATCAACCACAAGCGCAGCATGAGCTAGTCAGATACTGCAATCTAGACAGCTACAGAAAGGTGGTGCGGCTGTCTAGTTTGCTTTTTGAAATACGACTTTGTAGAAAGTATGACATATTTGTGGTATAATAGTTTTGTCTCAAGTCAATCTGATACAAAGAGCCACACCATGACTCAAACTTTAAGCAGAGGTTTTGGATTTGCAGCACACAAGTATCAGTCTGGCACATTTGGCTGCAGCCTGCAGTGTCTGTCACAAGAATGCATGTGCGAGCAAATGTATGTGCACACATACAAATGCACGCACACACTCCTCTATCCTGTGCCGGCAGATCCCGGAGACCTCTAATGCTGTGTGACTGCAATCCCCAGGGATTCTTTCTGCACTACTGGATGAGCTCCCCTGCCTTTGTGTTAAGACATCAGGGAATCCCTACATTCGCTTGCTTCTCTCATTCTTTATTTGCCCATTTGTTCCCCTCACAACCCCCACAGCGGGTGAGCTGCATGAAGGTTCGGTTATCATCACCGAGGTACCCTGCTCGAGACTACGATACAACAGCCTCAAATGATAACCGCACCTATTGCTTAGAGGAGCCGAATGAACCAATTTAGGGAAGCGTCAGTATGACAAATTACAGTACGGCAGGATAATTTCTTACACTGCAATGGCTTGTTGTTTATGAAGGAAACAGCAGTGTACATTTTGGATCTTTCACATTGGCCTTTAGGGGTTCATAATAAAAATTATGCAATATATGAGCTCATTAGCTCAGCAGTGTTGTTTAAATCTACTCAGTGGACGTGGCTGACAGATGAAAACGTTGCCAGTTCTCGTCTGAATCTACTTTGTCAGTGTTAAGTAGCCACTCTGGACAGCAGCCAACCCTGTCTGAGGTCTAAGAGCCACTTGGGAAAGTTGAATTGGGCTTTTCTATTTTCACATTATACTGGCTGTTAAGATGTAACACTTGAGGCCAAATAAGAAAAGTAAATGCAATTTAATTATGGATCAGCCCACATGTCTGACCTAAGGAGCAAACTTGCTCCTCATTTCAATGGGTGCTTCAAATATTTTTTTTTTAAATCAAATATTGCAAATTCAAACAAGTGACAAATTAAAAAAGAAAAAGAAAGAAAAAAACTGTTATTTTGATTACACGAGAAAGAAATTAAAAGGGTTTTTTTCACCAGTTGTGTAAATATCATCAGGTGATTTCTTGTTGCTTGGATATTTCAAAAAGTATTCAACTTCATCCTCTATAAATCAAAATTTATTTAGCACTTAAAAAAAAAACCCATCTACAAACAAATAATTCACTCTGGAGCCTAAATCACTGATGAAAAAATGAACTATTCTTGAGTGAAAGCTCACTATTACGCTGTTGATTCAGACAAAACAAGGCAATCAGAAAACATCCTTTTTGCCACTTTTTCCTCAATTTTCTGTCATTTTGTATCCCGAAACAAAAACACACAAATATGCATTTGAGTCACCGATGATTACTTATTCTCCACGGCTGAGGCCCCAAATTGATGGAAAGCCAACCAAGCATAAAATATTAATAAATAAATCCTGCATACATCATGTTTTCCTGTTGGTAGCTGAGCAGAGGTTTTTTTTTTACATCCTGCAGCTGACAACATTTCAACCACCAAATGGAAGAAGAACTTCTCATTTCTGAATCACCCACATGCACCTCTGCTCATCTGAAGCAAAACCCACCTCTGAACAGCAGAATGAGGTCAGCCTGTTTCTTTATCAGCGCAGCCAGAGTACAATGAGCACTGTGTCACACAACCAGCCCAGCCTCCATACATTCAGCAGCATCCCGAGGCCACTGCTGTGCGCCTGTCACCTTTACGGTGAAATCCCCATGAAAAGACCTGGTGGGATATCCTGGTGACTCCGCGGACAAGGTCATCACTAATTAGGCTAAAACTCGGTTTATTATAAGAATAGGATGAAACAGCCTTGTTACACGGTCACTTCTTGTCACATCAAACCCAGCTCAGATCACTTGATCTAAACACGCATTGTTTGTGCTTTATTTATGTTTCACATCATCTTTAACAGCTCTTCGGTCTGCTGGAACAAGTTCAGCAGTGCAACACATTCTCAACAGGTTATTAAATTAACGAACAGGTAAATCTACCGTCGAAATCAGCGGAGGCAAGAAGGGAAATACCAGCTTTCTGCTGCAATGCACCTGCCCAAACGCGCCTAACTTTAGGTAAGAAGCGGGGCTGTCTGGACCCACTGATGTGTGCTGAGTCCTCTGAGGTCGTGGTCGTGATGGTGGACGGAGAGAGCCCCCTCCCCTCCTCTTTCGTCCCCGCAAAACAAGAAAAAGGCACAAATAAAACATCAGGAACTGCGAACAAGCTGCACTGCTGACCATACGTGCCGTATGCAACGCGCCGGTGTTTCAGCGTCCCGGAGCGCTGCCGGCTGACCTGCAGAGCGGCGGTGTCTTACCTGGTGTGCTCGCCTTTCACGGTGAGGGTCCGGAGGGGGGTGAGCACGGCCGGCTGCGGAGTCAGCCCGAGAATCATGAACCGTGTGAGAGCCTGTCGGTGCGCCTCAGCACCGTCTGAAGGCAGAGATCCACAGCCAGGGTGTTCCCGACAGGAGGGGGCGTGGTGTGTGTGTGTGTGTGTGTGTGTGTGTGTGTGTGTGTGTGTGTGTGTGTGTGTGTGTGTGTGTGTGTGTGAATGAGAGAGCCAGAGAGAAAGAGAGACAGAGAAATGGCTCTTTTCTGACAATGCGACATTCATTCTTTTTCTTCTTATTGTCCGTATAAATTTAACTTTAAAGGGCAAGTCGGTTCATAAAGCGCACACTGCAGTGCAGATCTAGGCTGAGGGAAACTCCCACTTGTCACTGCTACATTATGTATTATGGATTTCCCTGCTGGCATCCTCTGGGAGTCTGTATTTCTGTGGTAATGGCCGCAGGAGATGCCTGCTGTAGAGTGACTGTTTATTTACTAGTCTCACGAAGGACTGGGAGGGTTGATTATCTTTGGATAAAACACACAAATCAATATTAACAAGGCACACAACTTGTTTATGTCTGTGTGCCGCACACCTTTTGGTAAACAGTGCAGGAGTCTGAAATAAAAAGGATTTCTGGTTACATTTAAAATGTCAAACACAATCTGACTCATCCATCCACACACCAAGCAGCTGTATTTGTCTGTTTTTGTTCAACACACTGAGCAATCAGCCGCAAAATGGAAGTGAACTCTTTAATATAGTAACTCGTTAAAAAAACAAAACACCTACTGGGATCATTTGAAGGGTTAGAGATATGACTGAATAATAATTTAATCAAATTAAAAATGTTGCAACAAATCTGAAAAAATTAACAAATGCTTTTTGCCAGTCTGTGAAGCTGGGGGTCAGACACCCACCTTTACCCACAGCCCAGCCTTCATTGCTAGGCTCAGCCTTAGAGATGGCGCCGAGTAGAGTCGCTGCTCATTTGGCTCAGAAGGAGCTGCTTGAGGTGGTTCCCTCTGGAGGTTTTTCAGATATTTGCCCAACCTGAAAGAAACTCTGGGTTAGATCTAGAACCGACTGGGAAGGTCATTTATCTCATCTGGCACTGGAACCCCTCGGAATCCTGCAGGAGGAACTGGAAAGTGTTGCTGAAGAAGGGCGTCAACAACATCCTGTTTACCCTGCTGCAAAAAGTGACCCAAGGTCAGATAAGAGGAAGATAATGGATGGATGCTTAGCCATCATACCATTAAGCAAATGAAAATAATGCAGTATGATTGTTTTACAAGTAGGCTACAGCAAAATCCTATATGTAAAAGTAAAAAATGATCAGTCTAATAATTGTTCTAATCAATTAGATCATTTGGCTTTTGTGCAATCTTCTTTGTTTCTCCCCCAATACTTGTTCTTAAGTTTTATCAATGAACACCAAACAGTTTAACACACACACACAAAACAAAGTTGTGTGTAGTCTTTTCATTCCCGGTAACAAAGGGTAACACTTGGCTCAGAAGCATTGATCCAACTGTGTAAAATACACTTTCTGGCAATTACAAGGAACTTCTCCAGAAGGCTTTAATGCGCTGTGGTTGGGGAGGGGAGGCTTAAGAGGAAAACGCCAGGATTTTAACATTTTATCTTTATTTTAAATATCTCATTATGTTCTTTGGAAATCATTGTCCAGAACTTGGAAATCAATTGATGCTTCCTCCCTATCAGAATGGCACTTAATGCACAGATGAGAGAGAGAGAGAGATTTGTCTTGTGCAAAACAACAGTGATATGTAGTCCATAACAAATCTTATACTGAGTCTCTCTCAGTCTATTAAATGTAGAGATAGGTTTGACCAGGGCTTCCTGCCAGTCATCCTTTATAAATGCTGTTTAAATCCATTTCACTTCATTTATGGGCAACATTTGGCAGCTTGTTTGCATCAGAGGACGTGAGTAGAGAGTGAAATGTGTAATGGTGTGTGGGATATTTTCAGCCCTTTGGACCGGAGCATCATTTAAACACCACAGCTTACCTGAGTGTTGTTGCTGACCATGTTTATCCCCCCAAAAAAGAATAGTAATATAATAAGTATAGTCATTTTTCTAACATATTTGATGAATCTTAGTCATCCTAAAGGTTTCACAAATGTTTTCTCCTCTTGTGTTTCTCAGTATATTTCTTTCTGTGTGGCGCTTCTGTGCTAAAACGCTTTTGTAATGTCTGAACTGAGCCACTGAGAGGCGATACAGAGAAAACAGAGTCCCGCTTCAGGCTGCGGGTCCAGCTCTTCTCGTCGCTCGTCATCCGCGAACAAGAGGAAGTGAACAGGAACAATAACAGCCGACACACCGGAGACCACAAAGAGGGCAGGCAGCAGTGTTATCTGTGACGGCAGCGATGGAGGAGTATAACTCTGGAGAGGAGGTACGGCTTTCTTTATGAGCGAAGTTCATCCAAAGGTCCGCAGCCAGCAGTAAACTTACAGCTAAATTACCTAGCTGCTAGCTTAGCCTGTTAGCTAGGTGTGGTCCTGTTATCAGATTTATTTAAGGCGATAACATTTGTTTTAATTTAACCCAGCCTCAAATACAATGAAGGGAAAATGTGATCATGCAGTTAATCATCTGATATTAATATTAATAACAAATAATACAGCTTTCTCTATCCTCCTGATGCAAACATCCTTCATTGTGGTGCACTGACATTGCTTTCCAGGTCACAGGGATAGGAGACGAGGAGGCACAAATTGGAGAAATGAGAAAAGCCTTCAGGGGTGTCCAACTCCAGGCTTCAAGGGCCGGTGTCCTGCAGGTGTTAGATTTGTCCTTGATCCAACACAGCTGATTTAAATGACTAAATTTCCTCCTCAACATGTCTCGAAATTCTTTAGTGGCTGGTAATGAATAAATCATTGATATCTAAAACCTGCAGGACACTGGTCTTTGAGGCCTGGAGTTGGACACTTCTGTGGTTTGGTCTCAAATCTCCATTATACAAAGCAATAAATCCTCTGCTATACAAACAGGAAGCGCAGTAGGACAAGAACTTCCTGCTCTCATTAAAAATAAAATAAAATGGTTATTAGTTACTTGCAGAGGTGAGGGCAAGCTGACTCATTTAGTAATACTTAGTTTAACTGTGATTCAAAAATGTAATTCATGCAACTTTAATTTCAAAGCAGAATGTCGACCTTAATGAGAGTTCAGTGGTGCGTTTATGGGCACGTTATTTTAGAGAAAATACACACGCATATAAAATTACCGAAGCGTGCATTTAAAAACAAAACAAAACAAATGAAACATGGACTTGGATTTTTATGTGATTTATTTAGGATGATTTCCAGTTCAGATTATTTTTACTCAGATTAAAATGAAGTCTTTAACTTTCTTTTTAAACCAGCCGCCTATGACATCACCAGGTTTAATCAAAATGTACTTTTTGAAGTTTTCGCCAGTGAATTGTCAGAAAACAAATAAAACATCCAGGATACAAATGCACGTCTCTGTTCCTCTGTGTCATAGGAGTTCATTTGTGCAGTTGAAACTATGACGTATCCTATGATATTGGTGCCAAAGTTGCCTGTAAAACAGATTTTGGTTTGAAATTCTCACTTGTTTTTAATCTCGTGTACTGGGAAAAATATGATGAATTAAAAAGGGCCAAATTTCAGCCTGCCCTGTGTACTTCAAGGACCTGTAATGAGGACTATTTTTGTAGCATGAACATCAGATTTCGCATCACTTGATTAAATATACGAAAATGACCGCACACAAAATCTGTTGATGTTGAGGGATTCAGGTGGAGGCAGTGATTGAACATTCATGGAATAACCCGGATCCTCTTTGTGCTTCTTTTAAAACTGATCCTGCAGGTCGGCTTTAATCCCGATGAGATCAGTGTCTCGGTAAAAGAGGTATGTTCTCTAATCTTTGGAAACATTCATAATAAACAGTATTTTAAATGCAATCAGATGGATGGATGACTTCCTGTTTACTGATTTAATCTCAGTGCGTTGAAGGCGTCATCGGTGGAACAGATTATAACCAGAGTAAAGTCAACCAGTGGACGGCCAGTATAGTGGAGCATTCACTCACTCACCTGGTGAAACAAGGTCGGGCGTTCAAATACATAGGTGAGCAAGTCCCTGTGTTCGATAACGTGAGCTTCCAGGACATCAAGCTTATTTGTAGCGCTTGTGTGTGAAGGTAAGCGTGTGTTTGTTGTAAAGCCGCTCTCTGATCTGTCCCAGTGAACTGTACGATCATGCAGAAGAGCGGCGCTGGGCTCCACACAGCCAACTCCTGCTACTGGGACACAGCCACTGATGGTGAGACATTCAAAAAAACAAACATTATTTCAAAATAATTTAAATCCAATATTTTTAATTGGAAGTGGCACAAATGATAACACATTAGAGTGATGTGCCACTTTTTCTCCTCCACATCCAAGAGGAGAAAATAATCAGTTTTATCTAGTGATTTTTTTTTTTTTTTTACTGATTTAAAACAAACAAAAAATAACCACAACAGTCAAAATACATAGGTACTCAATCACCCACAGCATAAAATAGAGGAATGATCTTATAATAAAAATATAAGTAGATGGCCGGACCAGCATAGACCTGCCTGCAAGCAGATGAAATCATAATGAAACCTAAACGTGTTCTTGTAATTATTAATCCCATGGAGGAAATTAAAACTCCAAAAAAATATTTTCAGCACATGGAACAACTTAACTGTTTGATCTACACTCTGGACTTCGTCACCAGTTACTGGACTTCTAATTTTTTCAGACTTTCATTAAAACTGAAACGTCCCTGTCGACAGGGAGTGCTCCTAAAGAAGTTTCTGGGACTGCTTCACCCACGACCAAGGTTCATGGAGAAGAGGATAAGTTAAAGGCTCAGTTTCCCACACATGGATTAAGCCTAATCTTAGAAAACTTTGATTATGATTGCCATTGAAAGAAGTTTTTAGTCAAGGACTAGGCTTAAATAGACTGGAGAGACTGATCTTTTATTCTTTTCTCTATGTAGCTTAGAAGTTGGTGAAGTTGTGCCAGAAACCTCCTTTCTGTTTTTTGTTTTCAAATGTTAGAATAAATCACATTTTCTTGCTATAATGCAGAATCTCCATTTAACCTAACATACACAGAAGCTGGAGAACCCACACAGGCTCAGAGAGCGCCCAGAGAGCGGGTGAATTCAAACCCAGGACCTCCTTGCTATAAGGCAACAGTGCTAACCACCACACCACTGTGCTGCCAACTTGGAGCTATAATTGTGGAAATAACAATAATAATAGTTAATATCCGTGTTTGCATTTTACATATGACACTGATGTTACATTTTGGATTAAACCGGGTTAATTAATTTATGAGAGGTGGGTTGTAACACCCCCCAACACTCAGACCAGATTTGCCTCCCTTATGTTGATGCATGGTGCCATGGTTGTTGGTCAGTTTTTTTTTTTTTTTTGATCTATTGAATAACTTGCCCACAAAACTGGTTTATAAATGGAATCATAAAAACATGTATTTCATGTATGATTTGGAGTAATTTCCTCTGCTTGTCTGTGGGTTTTCAGGGAGCTGTACTGTCAGGTGGGAGAACCGCACCATGTACTGTGTGGTCAGTGTGTTTGCTGTAGCTGTGGCGCTGTGACAGCCCTGCGCCCACCTCTCCATCTTCGAACACTGTCATGTCTCAAACTTTGCTTGAATGACACTGAAGATCCTCTGATTATATACCCTCTGATAGACGCTGACCTACAAGTATCTATTTCTCCCTGCAGGCAGGAACAACAGTTTTGGTTTGTGAGTTGGCAGCCTGTGAATACGTGCAGGTCTGACAGTGACAACATGTTGTTTGGTCTGGACTGGAGTCATGATCTGCAAACAGACCTGTTTGGAAAGTACTTTTCAAACATGCTCAGGTGTTTTCTTTGGCCCAGAAGTACCACATGTTGACTGTATTTTTTTTTTCCTGTTGTGTAAAAACAGATGACTGCTCTTTGTGTGCAGCAGGAAGTTTACATTTGTGTTTTTGACTGAAATATCTGAACATTCATTGGATTGTTTCTTATTAAATTTAGCACTGATATTCATCCCTCAGGAAAAACTATTTTAATTTTTAATTTTAATTGATGACATTCCTTCAGTCTCAACTGTGCTTTGTGCTGCTAATTAGAAAATGTTAGCATGTTTGCAACTTTGTCTCCTTCACTATGTTCCCTTAATAGAAACTGAACTATGACTACAAGAAGCTTTGTATGTTAGAGAAGCTCTGTTTAAGTAATCACTACAGTATACTGTATTTCTACTAGTCTATATTAATATTTTAATAAGTTATTGAAATGTTTAGACAAAACAACAGTGTTTTTCCTGTGATGCATTTAATGGTCAGTCCCTGTAACCAGGATTTTTTTTCTTTTCTTTTTTTTTTTAAGATCTTCTGTATTACTGTTGAGTTCAAGACTGTTTTTGTTGAATTTTGTCCAATAAAGTCCTTAAAGATGTTCCACTGTGTGTTTTCATGAGCACTGATAAAGAAGCTGAAGGCCAACACCTTTGGATGAGAGGATGGATTTAACCAGTGTTGGAGTACAGCGTACTTGGTTTTTCACTCTAGTTTCTGGTCTCTTCATAGCACCACATTTGCTTAAACTTGCCTTCAACTCAGTGTAGCATATTTTTGTATACCACTTGGAGCATTGTGTATGCATTTCTGGCACTGCTCTGGAGTGATTCAGAGCGTACCTGGCTCAGAGAACTTTTCATATTAGTCATGTGGGGTTCCACAGGGCTCAATACTTGGGCCTCTGCTATTGGGAAGGATGACTGCTTTATTCAAATTTGAATTGAGTGTCTTGAGAAACTAAAAGCTTGCATGGCTCTAAATCTTAAGCCTAAGTCTTAAATTTTAAGAGGTGATTGTTTTTGTTTCTGATGTCACCGGTGGGACTTACCCTATGGCACAGTATGGATAGCCTACTGTCACAAACTTTTGTTTTAGGATGGACAGCGGCTTTAGACCGGATGGTCAGATCAGTGCAGTGGTGAAATCCAGCTTCTTTCAGGTGAGACAGTTGGTGAAGATTTAAAAAAAAAAAAAAAAAACAACATTGTTGAAATCTAATTTTAAAACCATAATCCACATCTTTACCATGGGATTACTGTAATTCTTTGTATGTTGGTGTTAGCCAGTCCTCCCTGTCTCATCTTCAGCTGGTGCACAATGCTGCAACACACTTTTTAACTGAAACACAAGTTATTCTCAACATTTACGTCAAATTTATTTTTATTTCTGATTAAATATCCTGATTTTCTCTGTGTCCACCTCCAACCCACTGAAAAGAAGTCTTTTATAAAGGGTGTGCCAATGCACCTTTGCTAAAGTAGATAATTAAGTAAACAGTGGGTGCCTTTAATTTGCATTTAGAGCATCCCACTAGCCACACAGATCCCTCCCAGGTCACTTCAGTAAGTCAGGATAGAGCAAAATTCACTAGTCATCTGCAAACGAGGATTTGCTAAAACAGGCAGTTTCACTGATCAACCACTAGAGGTCAGCACAGATTCACATTGCGTGACAGATCAAAATAATGCAAGACAATATTCACATATAAATATAAATTTAATTTCTTTTTTTTTTTAAAGTACGACTTCATATTTTCAGTGCCTCCTTTTGTGTCTCTGTATGTTTGATGTGTATATTAATTTTTTTTGGCTTAAACAGTGCTTTTCTTATTTGTACAAACATAAGAAGCATTCATGTGATTCCCGAGGTCATCATCTCTCTGCAGACACGTTGCAAAAAGTAGTTAGTGCAAAAACAACCACAATCACATTCTCTCTCTATCTCTTGCTTTCTTAGTACATTAAAGGTTGAAATAAGAATAAATACTTTTAACAGTTCAAAACACAGACTCTTTTTCAGTTAGATACAGTAAATGTTTCGCGTGCACTCAGTGTAAATTTTCCAACTAAAGAGACAGACAGACAGAAACACAGTTGACAGACATAATAGGCGAAAATAAGAAAAGGAAAATGCAAATACATCCAAACAAAGCACATCACTACAGCTGCTGCTGCTCAAAAAATGAACCAAACCACCAAAGTCCTTTCTTTTTTTGTGTAAACGTGCAAAAGCCATTGGGAATGTCCGTGCTTTACAGTAACAGTATGTCTGGCGATGGAACAGGCTCTTTTACAACGTGTGGCGATTAACATCTCATCATCAAACACGAGCACATCACGAAAGCAGCGCGTATTAATCTTAAAGCTCTTATTAAGGAGTACAAAAGCATAATTGTGGCCAAAAAAACTAGCACGGGGCCGGCTCTCCCCCTCCTCTGCAGAGTAACCAGTTACACCTCGTCTGAGGCTCCACACATGCACGCCTCCATGCCAAAGAGACACTAAATACAATCACTTCAAATGCATTGGCTCCTTGTGATCAGTAAATGCAGCATATACGTGGACACGGTCTCCGAACCTAAAGAAGAGAGTGAGGTGATGGTGCCTGTGGGTTTTTTCTTGGTTTTAAAGGCTGCAGGATGAATTGTTGGCATGTAGTCTGATAAGACAGGCTGCGCGTTTACAGCAAGGATAGCTCTCACGTTAAGGACACATTTGCTTCATGTAGAATTGCAATGGATGTATGAGGGATCCATGTGGCACTTAAAAAGATTAAAGAAGGTTAGATAATGTCCTCTTAATGGCACGTAAGAATAATTCTGATGCGTTAAACGGTGCAGGGTACACCGTGTCTAATGTCGCCATTTATTCCACCTCCTATGTTGCTGTCCATTTCGTTCGGCGTGTCGAAGGTGGTGTCATTGAGCATGTCATACGTCGTGTCGTTAGGCATGTCGTCTGTGCTGTCGCTGGCTGTGTCGTGGGGCCGCTGTGTGGCTGGCTCTTTTGGCGCAGATGGGGTCGGGGCCTCCTTCATCATGGGCCGGTTCTGTGGAGAGCCAGAGCTGCACATCAGGCAGAGAAGTGAGGAGCAATCCCAAAGGCCCTGGGTCATGCTGGAGGAGAAGAGCCTCCGACATGGGTGGCAGAATTGGTAGAAGACCAGCATGAAAAAGATGGCGATGGCGTAGGCTACCAGCAGCTGCAGCACCAGCAGCGGGGCACAGATGAACTTGTAGATGTCTGTTTTATAGATGTACCAGAGCAAGAGCAGCGAGGCATTTTCCACAAAACGCAACATGTAGTACACGGCCATGCGATACCAGTTCTGGGACTTGTTGATGAGGTCTGGGTCACTGAGTTTCACCTGCACGGCAGACCAGCAGAACATGTTGATGCCAGCGTAGAGGAACGTGAGCATGCAAAGCACGATGGTGGTTCCCACTCTGGTCAGAGTTTTTTCTATATTCTCAGGGAAAGGGGAGTGGCTCTGCCAGAACAGGATCCAGGGGTAGAGGAAGAAAACGAGGAAGTTCAGCAGAACCACGGGCAGGATCCAAAGCTGGAGCACCGAACTGAACAGGACCAAAACCACAACGCGAGTGGCGATCTCAAAGCTTCGCCACAGGAATATGCAAACATAAGCCATAGGCCGGACGTCCACTTCATAGTCATCATATTTGATCTTGATGGCCAATATGTTGCAGCGCAGGGCTCCATACACAATGGACAGGAGGGAGATCACCATCAGTGTGCCTGACATGCAGATAGAGACAGAGTCATTTTTTTAAAAAAAGTTGGAAAAAATAAAACAAACAAATCTGCCTATAAATCAGTGAAAGCACGTCTCCAGTTTAGGATACTTTGCAGCTCATTCCATGTAAACACTGCTTCGTTCCTGAAAAACTCTTCTACCAAGGTGAGTGTGTACATGAAGTACTGCGTTGCCAGATTTCTGAGAGAAAAAATATGATAATAGAGCTTTAAACTCACCATCTACTTTGTAAGGTACATCTGCTTAACTGGTAATTATTTTCTAACAACTGTCTCCAGGGTTTACAGAGAATGAAAATAAGAAAATATCCACTGATGACTATGAAAGCTGTCACACAGTGTTATCACTGCAGTGACGTTGAAGCACTGACAGAACGTCTCACTCAAAGACAGATATGACAGGCCACTGCAGACTCATTTCACAGCTGGAAGAAAACAGACGTCCTGTGCATATAAAAGAAGCTTGGTATGAGTTTAAATTTCTGCTGTCAAAATTACTATGTTTTCTGTAATATTCGAGAACAGTAATAAGGCTGACATTTTTAGTTTATTACAGGATAGACTGAATCACAGGGAGAAGTGGATGAACCTTCACAGACATGATACCATTAACTTGGCATTTTCTGCACGTGAAACTAATCTGTGATTAGAGATTGCTAATTGAAACAAATCAAAAGCAGACTGAAGGTGTAGTTAAAGCTTTCTCCCCTAGGTACACAGTATTAAAGTAACAAGGCACAAAGCAGAGATAGGCCTCTAAATACATACAGGCCTAAAGTTTTAGGTTATTTCTCTATTTATAAACCCAAAAAGGTTAAAAGAAGAACAACATATCACAGTTTAATTACATGCAACATAATTTTATACAAACTAGTTTTCTTTCATAAAATATTTTACACATGCTGAGCCATTAACATCCCATTTAACACTTGTTACGGCCCTGGGCCTTGGAGAGAGTGAGACTACCCTTTTGTGCTTATGCAGATCACAGTGTGCCAGACCTCGCGGACGATTGGCTGCCTGGAGATCCCATGACCACTCCATGACCAATTGACTGGCTGATTGTCTGCACCAGGGAGTATAAAAGGCTGAAGATCCTTCACACTATGGTGAACTGCTGCTCTGAGGTGAACATGCAGTGGCCTCCTCGTCTGCTTTGCATGTGAAGCTTGTTTGTTAAATCTGATTGCTGTGTTGCTCTTTGTTTAAACCTGGTATACAGCTGAACTTAGTTTCATTAGTTTTGTGATGCTGGCTTGCCTTAGTTAACCCTAAGCTTTTACTCTTGCCTGTTCTTTTCTGTTCTAAAACCCCTTATTTACTCAGATTTTGTGAGAGGGCTGGTGTATGTTTCTCCCCTCCTGTCGCCTAGCAGAGGGGGTCGTAACAACACTTCAGTTACTTTAGTTGGTTTATATACAAATTATGAGTGAAGTTAGACGGTTGTTTCTTCATGTGTTCACAGATCGATTTCAGAAAGATTTTAAAAAACAAAACAAAAAGCTGTTTGTGCTTTCCATGTAAGTGAACAATTTACACTCGCAAGAAAATAAAGATGGGATCTTAAATTGGCGGTATGAGTATAAATGACTATAGCAATATGGGACCATTATTTTAGGACAGATTTAAAATATGTAATTTAAGATTTTCATGTTCGGGCTATGACACAAAATAAGACTGAGATATTTATAAAATCTTTTATTTTGACCCAATTCAAAGACCAGATGTCCTAGTTTGACTGTTTGAACCCTTTACTCGATTTCTCCCAGGAATACTCAGGAATAGACCTGCTCACCCCCCCACTCCACATACACAGAAACACACACAGCCTGGCTCCCTGTTGGCAAACAGAATCACCATTTTCCATCTTTAGTATCAGAGAGGCGGTTACATAACACCACTTTGACTCATGAAAACATCCATTCTCTCATTTCCAATATCGCACTTAGCTGATCAGCCCACATTGTAGAGGACCTGTGACGGACTCTTAGCAGAGCCGGATGGGTGGATGATCCATAAAACTGTCCGGTCCCACACAAACACACGCTTACGTCATACGTGCTCCCCTCACCTCTTCCGATGGACACCCCTTGTTGCAGGACGCAGATGTAGAGCTGCAGCGTGAGCTGGGGGGCTGATCCCAGGAAGGCCTGAATGACAGAGGTGCGGGCAAAGGCCGCTCGGTGCGTAAACAGTTTCCCCTCTGCCTGCCCAACCTGCCGCTCCACCTCCTCTGCCTGACCCCTGCGGGGCATCTGCTTCTTTCTCGTGATGCTGACATAAGGCTCCTCCACGCGGCCCACGCTGCCGTAGATGCAGAAGGCCTCCAGACACCTGAAACAGGAGAGGAGATGAGCGTGTGCATCGGATTTCATCCACCTGATGAAAGTTGGATATATTGTACTGTCTCATTAACAACCCTCTAATCTAATAATTCAGCACAGTGTTGTAAAGGTAGTTCTCTTTATTTAATTTAGAAACACTGACCAGCATAAGGCAAATGAACTGTGCTTATCTTTTAATGGCCATAACAGCTCTTTAAGGAAAGGACTCATTTTCCTTCTAAGGCCGATTTAGTCCATTTCTCTGCTTGCTGATTATGTAGTCTTGTGAGTTTATGTGAGGTTGTACTTTACAGGAAAAATGCTATTATTCAGAGCTTAAATTTGATGTAACATAAAGTTTATTACTGTTTATAATAAGTATAGCTGAAGAATACATATAGCTTATTCTGCATATTAATTCAATGCTTGTTGCTCAGAATTATGAGCAGCTACAGAAGCCCGAAGAGCCAGGGGTAATTTTCATATGATCCTCATTTGGCTATCCATTATCTGTGTCAAATGAGGCCTCAATGACAGGACAGAGTCATGTATTGGCAAGTGCGACTCTAAAAACACTGAGGTGCATAGAGCGGGCAAAGCGCCAAAGGTTGAGGCAGCGTTGTCCTTGTCAAGCAGTGCTGATGCACAGCCGGTAAACAGCAAGTCGCAAGGATTTAGCCACAGGAGTGCTCAGGGACACACCGTTTATCAGCATGACTTACACTGAACAGACGTGCTTAGTGAACGCCTCACTGAGTTAGTAAAAATAAACGACGTCATTCAAGGGTGAATATCAGTCTCGCGCTCTGTCTCTGCAGAGCAAAGCATGTTGTCGGGAATACCTGAACACCTGCAATCCCATGTAACTATTCGACTATTGGTGATGCAAAATCCTGCAGATGTTTTCATTAAACAACAGAATTGTGAAAAAAATGTGATCACAGCGCCAGATGGCTCGATTTCACTATTTTTAAAACTGCAACTCTCCTGGGATTTTCACCGCAGATGTCTCTAGAGTTTACTCAGAGACATCTGAGGAAAAAACAACCAAAAAACCCATCGTGTCAGCAGCAGTGCTGCAGACGGTGATGCCAAAACGGTCGGGCTGGATGGAGATAAGAAAAAGGTTACGGTGACTTAGATAACCACTCTTAACTGCTGAGCAGAACAGCATCTTGCAGTGAAAAATGAGTCCGATCCTGAGACTGAAGCTGAAGATGTCAGCTGAATACAAAAAAGCTGTGGCTTTTCTGTTGGGGGAGGGGTGGTGTTGTCTTGTCATCTTGGCACACTTTGGGCTCATTAATATAAATTAGCAATTGTTTCAATGCCACAGCCTATTTTAGTGTTATTACTGGACATGTGCAGCCCTTTAGAGTTCAGCATGTTTTTATGGCTGCTCCCAGCCTGTCACAGAGCAAAAGCAACCTGGACTCATTATGAACATCATGATGAGTTTAGTAAAATGTCTGTCAAGCTACCAGATCTGAATCCTGTAGAATAGCTTAAAGACGTCGTAGAACAGGATCCTTTAGCTGACAAAACTCATGAACTTATGTAACAGGATCATGTAAACAGCTGTTTACAACACTCCAGGTCATATGATGAACTGCTGGCAGAATGATAGTCATATGCTTCAGTCACTCGTGTGTATTTGAAATCAGCATTTGTTCTCTTTTGCTCGTCTTTGGTCTCCACCAGCTCGCGAGGAAAACATCTGCTTTGGATTCATATTACAAGTGACCCAGTTCACTTGGTTATTTCACGTTTCTTGCTACGAAATATAGCAGTTATAACCACTATTTTTATATCCCCGATGACAGGTTGGGACACGTCACTTTATAAAGACTTCTGATGCACATCCAGTCATTTTGCTCTACAAGCAGGCCTGAAATACCACAGAAACTGCTCACTTCACAAAAGAAAAAAACAAGATTTCTCCAAATAAGCTTTCAAGAGTTAAAAGGTCATTTCACTCCCAGATCAGCTCTGCGTATTTGTCCCTTTAGCCTATGAGGCCTCTGTTCCCATTCATCTAGCAACATTTAGATTTTTGACCTGTAACATTACTGCAGAGTCACGAGTATTTAAAAAAAAATGTTATTGGAGGTTTAAATACATCTTAAGGATAATTTGTTTAATAATTTTACATACGCCCATTTAAAAATCCCACATCTATGCAATTTTTTGAAGCTTTTGCACTTGTTTAAGTTGTACATGAGCTTTAAATTATTTCGAGTTGCAGAAAAGGCGGAAGTAGACTTCTGTTATTTTGACAAACTACTCTTCAGCAACACTTTAGTGTTAAATAGATTAAAGAGCACTTCTCTTTAGGGCGACAACAGAAGAAATGATTACACCCAACGCAGACTTGTGAGAGATTTGAATACTTTCTCTGATGGTGACACACATCAAAATATCAGAGGTGTTGTTTTGGGAAGTCAAGAGGAGGAAGTGCTGCTGTGCTGTCTGCAGCAGAGAAAGAGAGAGACATTCCCCGGTCTGCTGTCAGAGATAAGGAGCCAGCAGTGACATGTGCTATTCTTAGATCTGGTCTTCACCGAGGAAGGATGTAGAGGTCTGAACAGTAATCATTTGAATGCAGTCGGGAGGGTAGGGAGGCTGTGCTGCTCAGTACGACTCTATTCACGAGCTGAATCATGAGGAGGCATAATTACCGTATGTGTGGCTGGAAAAATACTGGTTGTTTAGATTGTCAGGATTGCCTGTCACAGTTGTTATTAATATGGTCTATTAATTTTGGAAAATAGCAAAAGCTTGAATTGAATGAGGAAGATTAGAAAAACACCCATGAGTTTAATCAACTGCTCAAATAACCAATCTTAAAAAATAATTACTTGTTAAATCAGCTTGTTTTGTCCAACATGATACATGTTCACAGTTGAGAAACCAGTTGTGCATTTTAACTCAGAAAGGACTTAAAGAGTGAGTGATAAAAACAGATGTGGTAGTATGAGCATGTGGAGTTGCACTTCCATAGTCGTCATCATCATTCATGGCATGAGTCTGACCTTTAGGTCAAATGAAAGATAGGATTTCCCTCTGAAGCCTTTCCAGGTTTAAGTTACAAAAACAAAAGTCTATTTCGATTTTAATAATGGAAACACCTTTAATGCTTAGTCTTTACCACTGCAGATCAGTCGCTGGGTTCTATTGTTTACTTCCCTTTGGGCAACTACTAAAATGATTTGCGTTTGTGATGAAACTGCTGATCAGTTCCCAAATGACTAATCCAAAATTTCTGGTTTATCGAACATAGGAAAAAGAGGAGAAATGTACCAACCCATAACATAACCAACTTTGAACTAAGACAAGAGCAAGTCTTCCCATTTCATCACTGAATCACACACATAGTCTGTAAATCACTCTTCTGTCCATCTGGAAATGAATTAATCAACCAACTGCAAACCATGAGTGGGTTTTAATGAGTTTACCAGAGTCAGATTTCCTGCTGTTTGTATGTTTGATAGCAGTTTCATCTCTGTGTGTACAGCAGGGATGCTTTCTATGTACAGGATTGGGCTCAGGCTTATACAAAGAGGAAGACCGGGCCTATTATGATTTAAAGGTTTCTCCGTGAGTGTGGAGCGACTCCAGTTAGGCTTCATAACGATGATTTAATGTCCTTTCAGTCAGAACAGTCATAAATCAGCTTTGCCCGAACGATCATGGCTGAAGGTGATCAAACTGGTAGAAGACCTTATTGTACTGTAAGTGCTTTGGCTCAGCAGCCTGCCAGCTGTGTATATATGTAACATATATCGATCAACAGTGGCAACATTGATCAGCCTTTTGCTTCCGAGCTGAACAACACGGACATACAGCACATCATGCGCCAGTATGTATGGAGCCAACCAGACAAAAGGCGAGAGAAAATGAAAACAACAGCATGTGCGCAATGCATTCATCGCACCATCTGTAAGCAGCTTATGCGCTGGCAGGCCTGGCATGTTTTTAAGAGGAAAAAAAAACATCCGTGGGCACGACACCTGTGGGAGGTAAGAGACATGCCCTCGGCAGAACACAGTGGACACTGTGGATACAATGGGATCCAAGCTCCTGTTTGACAAACGGAGGTAAACATGTCAGCACTGACCTGACGATGGGACCGAGCTGCAAGATGTGCAACAGCAGAATGAGCGGTCTGTCTCTGCTCAGGTCCCGGTGGATGAAGGTGAGGGTGAGCTGCACGAGCACGGACGGTACGAGCGTGAAGAGGAGTGTGAGCCCCTGCCAGATCTGGTCTCCGGCGGAGCGGTACGTGGAGCTGAGGTACAGCGCTGCCGTGGTCTCGGCCGTGAACAGAGACACCGACACAAAGATGGAACTGGGGAATCGCATCCTCACTCACTCCGCCATTTGGGGAATGCGGCGCGCTGCTTCGCTCAGAGTCTGCACGTCCATAACGAAACCACCGAGTCGTCGGTTGGAGTGTTGGAGGAACGCCGCCGCAGGAGCAGCAGCTTGTCTGCGATATGTGAGGCAGGCGGGACAGGTTCACAGCCAAGTGTTGTCCCGGGGAGAGACTGCTGGGGGCGCAAGAAGCGCTGCGCTCTCCAGTGCGCACTGAAGCGCCAGTCAACGAGACGATAACGCCCCGAAGACTGATGTTACAATGGTGGTGCAAACATCTGCAGGGTCATGAGGCTAAGAGTTTCAATTACAATTCAATAACCAGCTTACTCATTTTTTGGGCAATTTCACAGGCCTACTAATCTATCCATCATGGAGCCAGAAAGCCCAAATACTAATGTCACGTAAAATTAAACATAAAACAAACAAATAAACAACAACCATGAGCTATGACTAGTCTGTAAGGAAGGAAAAGCTTACAATTCAAACGTGACACAGGAAACTGTCTCTACGTAACACAGTCGCAAAGCTGCTTTGACGCCCCCAAATCATAACAAATGTTCCTCTGCTGCAGTGAAGTTGTGACAGAGGCTAAAAACATTTGAAACTGTACGAGCACACACACTACTGTAACTGTATATGAGAAAAATAAGGAACACATAAGTCAGCTTTAAATAAACCTGACACTGTACACATTCTCGGTGTCTCCTGTCACCAGCAAGCTGGTCCAAATTTTTTGAAAGGGTTTCATTCAGACAGCGCTGACCTAAAGAACCTGCTGATTAGTCGTGGAAACGACACAAGTGGGACACCACCTCCGCGCAGGAAACACACTAACTCAGGCTGGAAAATCCCCAGACACTTCCACGGACCATGACAGTTTCAGTGAATCAATGTTCTGATGGCTGCTTACAGCAGTATAGCGCACCATGTTGCACAGTTTAAATTATCTCACACTAGTTTCTTGAACGGGACAGTTCACTGCACTCAAATGGCCTCCACAGTCCTTTGGCATGTGTTGCAATGTAAGAATCACATTATGGATGTGCAGCTGACAAATCTGCAGAAAGTGTGCGATATTATCATGTCAATATGGACCATAATCTCCGAGGACTGTTTTCAACATCTTGTTGGATCTGAAGTCAAAATAGGGTCCAATATTAGCAAGGTGTACCTAATAAAGTGGCCAGAGAGTGTACATGTATGTGGGATATGACCAAGATGAGACCTATGTTGTTTTTGGCACTTACAGCTCAGTTAAAGTCCTGGCAGGAACAGGTGTGACTTGACATCTGGCCCATGTAAGGTGAAAATGTTCTTGCACTGAGGCAGCTGAGCTCACCCACGTAACAGCTGTGGCCCACTACATGTGTGGGCCGCAGCTGGACCAAATACTCACCTCTAAATAGCCTGTAGTGCTGGAGTTTAATACTGATGAGAAAGGTTCAGACATTTTATTGAGACTCTGTTCTAGACGACATTAAGAGCCTCTAACCCACGTTAAGTATTAATATCTTCACATTGTCTTCAACACTCCTATAATGGATTTAAATAAAGGTAAAATATAAAATAAAAGATGTAATAGTGTAGTTTTTATCTGCTCAGAATACGCAGCTTCCATTAAATTACAAATGTTTATAGGCTGCAACAAAGCGAAGCGTCCTTCTCCTCTTACGCTCTAAAAGCCAACTGTTCAGTGCCTCTACCAATATCAAGGACTAAGCAGCCATTAACATACAGGCACAAGTGTAATGATTTCCAAAATGTGGGTTTTATTTTACCCCACAAACAACAAAAATAATGTCAGATATGCACAATCACATAAATAAGCCATTTTAAGAAATAAATGGGCACTGAGAGGTTCAGCTAAATACAACGGCACCAAAAAATAATGGCTAACAAAATTAAATCAGCTGAATGTATATATTAACTGAGTAAACAATTTTAAATGCAAAAGGAGAAACAACAGGAACAAAAACTAAATTTAATTTTGTAAAAAAAACACAAAAAAACCTGTTACCCCCCCCATGTGGTCATAGAAGATGGTTAAGTCTATTTGTTTCACCTTTGGACTTAAACTAGCTCCATCTTCAACCTCCACTTTTGCTCTAACCTTAAAGACTGCAGCAGGAGCCAGGTTGATAAAAGAACCCCCCAAAACTGAAATATAATTAGTGCAACCTATACATACTTGCATATACCTATAAAATACTGTTAAAATTTTGTAAAACAAGTATGTACAGCATCATTTATTTATCTATATGAACCTCACTGACGGCTGTTGTGCGGTTGTGGACCAGCACATCCAAGCTCGATGGTTCCAGCTCTGAAAAGCATAAAAATACATTTGAAAAAGTGTAATATTTTTCTATTGCGAGTACTGATCCACTCACAGGGGGATTTTTTTTCTCTGTCACATTGTTCATAAAGCGGCATTGAAAAGCTGATAAAATATTACAGCAATTAAAAGTCATCAGTTTTTATGCAGTCTCCAATAACAGATCCTCATCAATCACCAGTGGACGCTTCGGTTCTGTGTTTTCATGTATTGAGTGTGTTTTCCTGCAAGGCCTTTCCCTTGAATAAAACACCAGTCATCTCTATTATTTTGTCATCTGGACACTTTATTGGTATCAATAATCCAGTAGCAGGTATTGTTTTAAACAGCTTGGATTGCAAATGAAAAACAGCAGCACACATGTACAGCTTGTAAATGTTTCACAACCGGCTCAGTTAAAGTTGGGAAACTGCTTTGGTTTGCTGTTATTCGCAGGCAGTTTTTTTTAATCAACATGAGCCACATGTTCATATAAGCTTCCCAAAGCATCTTCAGTTTCCTGTATTCTCTGCCTTCTTATTCTCTGAGAGATGTGATATCATATCTGAAAGCTAGACATTTGTTTGTAAAGCCTCATTTGCGCATTTAGCTCAAGAAATTCACCACAGAAAGAGTCGCCTCAAGAAACGGACTGAGTTGGACGAAGAGTGAAATTCTCACATCGGCAGCACACTTTGTTCTTTTCTCCTCCGTCTCCATCACAAAGGTACAGACTAACTTATTGTTTATCTGTAGGGTAAAAGTTGAAACCAATCACAACATATTGATCACTTTGAAAGTACCCACACAGTAGCTAACATAGTTTTGAAATATTAATAAACACAAATGGCTGTCACACTGGTACAAGGCGTAACCTCAGCTTCAGCGGGTGAGAACAGCACAGCGGAAACAAAGTGTTACTTTTATGTCGATAAACAGTTACCTCCCCACCCAGCTTTGATGATCTTTATAGTTTGCGATTATGTAAAGACATGAACTCAAAGGTCTGCGATATGTGACGCTGAGCTGGTGAACTGGTAGAAAAATTTTAAAGGCATTTATGTGACACTCGTTTTTCTGTTTGCAGATTTTTTGTGTGTGTGACTGGGGTGTGATTGCCTTTTACTTTTATGTGTAAGTAGCTTGTGTGTTTCTGACCTGAGAGCAGCATCTTGGAAGAATATCTCAGTTTCTCATCTCTGTACTTTAGTGCTGGGCTCCTTTCTTAGAGTGACCCTGATAAAGCAGACGACAACACACAGACGGAACAATCTGGGCGCTTTGGGTGATGTAAACAAGAAGTACAGCTTAGTGTTAGCGGAGTCAGTGAGTTAGTTGTGGCCGCGTTGTTTTTAGCCTACATTTGTTTACACCATTAAAAATATTGCACTGTACCCATGGATGCATTCACGACTATCACTGCATTACTTTTACGATACAGAAGCAAACTTGATGATTCCCAGACGAATCTGGAGTTACAAGAAGCATCTTTGTTTTTTGTTATTTGTCCCCAAACAGATTTATTGATGTATACGCCCAACGGACATCTCATATAGACCTCCATCACTAGTGACAACAATGGACAATGTTTTTGTGAGTGCCATGCATCGGATAAAGCCTCAAAGCTCAACATTCAAACAGAAAAAAGACAATTTTTCTACAGCAACTTTCCTCTGTGTGATATTGATCTAAAGCCCAAACAAAAAACATTCATCCCTCCACTCTCGTTCTGATCACAATATCAATCCTGACTCTAAAGTTTCTATAAGTTGTTTAGCGATTTCACTGGGAAAGGGGCGGGGTCTGTTCAGGTCAGTGAACAGCAGTAACCTTTCAGTCCATTCACACAAAGACACTGAACAGAGGGAACTCTGACTGGTCTGGCTGCAGGAGGTCGACCAGGAAACAAACGGTCCCCGACAGGCCTTCGAACAGACTGTAGATCCTGGTAACTGAGCGAGAGCCTGCCTTGAATTCCTCAGTGAAGAGGAACTCTGCAAACCTGTGTGGACAAAACAAGAATGGAGACACATAAAAACACAATGTGAAAGCAGCATGTCCAGAACTGAGCTATAACTTCTTGTAGAGATCAGGAGTGCACCTGAAGTTTCTGAACCTCCTTTTAAGACAATAAATGTACACAATGTGGATAAAAGCATTGGGCCACACCTCTTAATCTTTGATTTCAGGTGTTTTCAGTGCCACAGGTGTATAAAATCAAGCACTTAGCCACGCAGTACAACTTAAACAAACATTTGTAAAAGAGTAGGTTGTTTCAAAAGAGGTCATGACATTGAAGCATGGTGCTCTAACAGGATGTCATCATTGCAACAAGTCTTGTGAAATTTCTTCCTACCAAGATATTCCACAATCAACTGTAAATGTTATTGCTGCAAAGGGCAAGCAGATCATGTAAAGTCACAGACCTGATATGCATATAGTGTAAAAGTCACATGACAACGGCTGCTGTAGATGTAGATAATGCGTGTTTGTCACTGCTGCTAATGTAAAAACATGACCCACATGTATGAAGCTTTTGTGATGAAACAGTTTTTGTGATTCTTGTTATGCCCAATGTGTTTTTTTCAAACATTTAAGAGTTAGAAAAGATTGATGCCGCACTCGTTGTGTTATACATGTAGCAAAAGCCAGGAAGCCTAGCTTAGCATTAGCACTGCAAATAAACCAAAGCAGACAGCTTGGCTTTGATAAGGTAATATAATAAAGGTGAAATAATTCACATGCCAGGACCCCTAAAGCCCTTGAAATGTGTCCAAAAATCAAAGTGTAAAAATGACAGTTCACTGTTTAATGGCCAGGCTAGCTGGTTCCTCCCATGTAGCTCTGTGCTACATTATGCTAACTGTCTTCGGTCAGCTTCAAATAGACACGAAGACAGGACCATTGTGTCAATTTACTCATCTAATTCTTGACAAGCAAAAGTTCTCAAAATTTTAAGCATTTCCTTTAAATCACCAGCAATTTTACACACACCAGATAATGCTGAATACAGCCTGAATATTCCCACTATTTTGGTTTTACAAAGCCATTAATCACATTTATGTTACACTTCTTAATAGCAGACATGGTTGAAACCCTGGCATCATCTTCCTGGTAGAAACTGGATGCAGTAGACCTGCAGAAACCAAACTGTAGATGGTTAGATGTTAATGTTACCAAACCCTGAATTACACACTGCTCTCACATAAGCTGCCTTGATGGTTTGAAGTACCTCAAACCAATGTCAGGTCAGCTGTCATTTTGAAACTACACTCAACAAAAATATAAACGCAACACCTTTGTTACTGCTCCCATTCCCCATGGGATGGATGTAGAGACCTAAAATTCATTCCAGATACACAATATAACCATCCCTCCCAAACAGTGGTCACAAATCAGTCCAAATGTGTGGTAGTGGGCACATCTGCTATATTGAGATAATCCATCCCACCTCACAGGTGTGCCACATCAGGATGCTGATCTGACATCATGAGTAGTGCACAGGTGTACCTCAGACTGCCCACAACAAAAGGCCACCCTGGAATGTGCAGTTTTTTGCGCTATTGGGGTCTGGGGAGCCAGAACCGGTCAGTATCTGGTGTGACCACCATTTGCCTCATGCAGTGCAACACATCGTCGCATGGAGTCTATCAGATTGTCAATTGTGGCCTGTGGAATGTTGGTCCACTCCACTTCAATGGCTGTGCGAGGTTGTTGGATATTCGTGGGAACTGGTACACGCTTTAGGTCTCTACGTCCATCCCATGGGGAATGGGAGCAGTAACAAAGGTGTTGCGTTTATATTTTTGTTGAGTGTATTTATTCGAACTTGATGTTGACAAAAAACAGTTATTCAATATCAAAATGTTTGCTGGGTTGTTGCAGCTCCCCAGAAAAGGAGGGCTTTCTTGCCTCTGAGCACGGTAGATGTATTTGGAGTTGCCTGTGAGCCGATAAAGCAGGAGGAAGACATATGCGCTGCCTGCAACTCCGTGACAAATCCCAGGACCTTTCTTCAGCAGACCTTTCTGCCATACGAGTTCTCCACTTCTAATGCATTTATCCAAGTACTGTGGCTTCTTATTGATCAGATAGGCTTTTGCGAAAAGGTACGCCACACCTGTAAGAGACAGGACAGTGTAGCAGTGGGGCTCTAAACCACGGGACAGGAACAGGATGATGGGCATTAACAGCTCTGAGCTTACCCGGGGCTCCGTGGCACCAGTGCACCAACTCGTTCTCCCTTTCGATGATGGCTCCCAGCTCTGCAGGCCAGTTACAGTTTTGCTCCTGGTTCATGAGGAAATCAACACTCTGCCACACCAGATCCTTTTCAGCCCCACTGAGCATGTCTTGGTAGCTCAACAGCATCTGCAGCACAGATGAAAGGCCGTGGGCTGCGCCTGACAGAGGAGGGAGGGCGAGGTGTGTGGGGAGGGTCGCACATGCACAAACAAAATCAGGCATGCAGGAAAACACCATGCCAGGCACACAGACGGACACCACCCAGAGCACAAAAGCGCAAACGCTCACAGAGCACAACGGGAGGACTTGTTTTTGTTCCATTCTAATCCGGAGCTCACTGTACATATTTGACAGTTTTGATAGGTGACATAAAGTCCTATTTTCCAGCACTGAGGAAATACATCAGCAGCCCGAACTTGATGCAAGAACAGGGAAGTGTCCGTCAGCTACATGACATCTGGCCCACAAATAGAATGCTTCAAAACTAGAGATCACTTCGTCAGGACAGTATTTACTGTACATGATGCAGGAATGCAGCACCTGTACTAAAGAGCTAAAAAGACACTGAAGGGATCCAGTAATATAGAGTAATTAGGCTTCAGACTATCTGAACACATGTGTTGTCCGGAGGTCCTCTAGTCTGAACAATAGACACACACGTCTACACACTGATCTAATTACAAGTATACGGACATGCTTGACGCTGGAAATAACAAGAGATAGAAGAGTAACCCTTTGTAGCCTTGCAACCATCCAAGAAGATTATCTCCTGACAAGAACATCATAGCTGGATGATTCTGCACATTTTTAGATTCGCATCAAGTTTAACTGCTTTCCACATCCAATGACAATATTTCCAAACTCTCACATTATAGGTAACAACTACATAATACTCAAAATACGGTAGTAACTATGGTAACGTACAAATGTCTTGAGTCACTCATAATTTCTTTTTGTTTTGCTTCTAAAGAGCCAGACTTTGTCATTATCAAAATGGTCTTTAGTAGTAGTTTTCTAGGCTTTCTGAAGGTCTTTCAAAAGTTTGGGTTTCTTTTTTGGACATTGGCTGCTTTTTCACTCAAATTCAATCCAGTCTTTGTACCTGGACATTTTCAGAGGACTTGTTTTTTTAAATAAGCCACTAAATGCCACTAAATCGACCACAGCCCGGTACTCTGTCTCATCATCAGCAGGGATGATGAGACAGAGTACCGGGCTGTGGTCGACTCCTTTGTCACGTGGTGTGAGCAGAATCATCTGCAGCTCAACGTGGCAAAGACCAAGGAACTGATCGTGGACTTCAGGAAGACCAGGAAACACTTGACCCCTGTTTCAATCCAGGGGGTCAGTGTTGACATTGTGGAGGACTATAAATACCTTGGAGTACACATTGACAATAAACTGGACTGGGCTAAAAACACCACAGCACTTTACAGGAAGGGCCAGAGTCGTCTCTATTTTTTGAGGCGACTGAGGTCCTTCAACATCTGCCAGAAAATGCTGAGGATTTTCTATGAGTCTGTGGTGGCCAGTGCGATCCTCTATGCTGTTGCATGCTGGGGGAGCAGGCTGAGGGTCGCAGATGCCAACAGACTTAATAAACTGATCCGTAAGGCCAGCAATGTTGTGGGGATGGAGCTGGACTCCCTCAAGGTGGTGTCGGAGAGGCGGATGCTGTCCAAGATAAAGACAATGTTGGATAACACCTCCCACCCACTCCATGACATGTTGGTCAGTCACAGGAGCTCGTTCAGTGAGAGACTGAGATTACCGAAAAGCACCACTGAACGACACAGGAAATCATTCCTGCCTGTGGCCATCTCCCTGTACAACGCATCCACTTAACACACTGTTTGCTGCTACAACTACACATGTTTCTTTTCCAAATATTTATTTATAAGTGACTTATGTATGTATGTATGTATATATATGTATATATTGTACTATTCTTAGTTAGCGTATTGTCTGTCTTGTCTTAATGTTGGTTTAAAATGGAGCACTGTAACAAAAAATAATTTCCCCCAGGGATCAATAAAGTATTCTGATTCTGATTCTGATTCTGAAATACTGACCTATAAATCATTCAAGCATAAAAAGACACGACACTGAAGTGTGATACCATCTGGAAAGTGGCAATGGCTGTGTGGGATCATCTTGACAGAAAATGGAACAAAAGGGAACCAAGATCCATCCTGTAAGAAGCCCGGAGCACTATTCCTGAAAACTGCGTAAAGAAAATAGAAGAAAGCTTTCCAGAGAGAGTTCAGGCTGTGCTGGAGAATAAAGGTGATCATCGCAAATATTGACTTTCAAGTTTAACAGAATTAAACAGAATCTGTTTTTGCTGTTTAAACTGTATTTCCATGTATGTTTGCACATGTTTCAATAAATCACTGCAGCTGTTTCCCATATTAATCGATAAATATAAGGAAATGAGGGGTGGCTCAAGACTTTTGCACTGTTGCGCTTTTGTACTGAATATTCAGGTTTTCATATAATGTTTAAATGACCTGAAAGCAACGTGAAAAAACACTGTGAACATGACTGAATCAGTTACCGTAGGAAAGCATTTATCATAGGCCCATAGCTCCTGTCTCCAACCATCCACCACCCCAGACTCCACCAAAGAAATGTCTTCCTCCTGCACTGGCGTTGGATGAGAATCGTAAGTTACAGAATCATCAAACATGGATGTAATTCGTTGGGATCCTGGAGCGAGACTTCCTAAATAATGCTAAACACATGCAGGAAACCAAGACTCTCTGAGGCAGCCCAGCCCACCGCAAATCGATCAAGAAACTCCTCCAATAGCAAACCTCTCATGACAGGCAAACTGAGAACACATGCAGGATCTTCAGCATATATTTTCATCCAGGTATTTCTAATCTACAGATCTCTCAAAATATAACTGTTCCACTTCCTCGTCATCCTCAAAGATGTTGCTGTATCCATGCAAAAGTGGCCAGCAGGGCTATGCTTACTATGAACTCTGTTGATGTGAAAGTTACTTCAACCCTGAGGGGTCTCTTCCTCTGATGCCCATCAAGGAAAAGGACAGTTAGTTTTACACACATGAACACACCAGTCCTGTGACAACAGAAGCTCCTGCTGTGGTCAGAGGACTGAAACTGTGAAAAATCCTGATATCTGTGCATTTACACTACCTTTATAACAAGGGCACTGAACGTTGCACGAAGCTGGTGGTTCTTACCGAGGTACTCTGTTCCATAGTACGAGTACATGAGGGGGAAAGGCTTTCTCTTCTTCCTGGCATACTGTTTTCCTGACTCGATGATGGCCTGGCAAATAGATTTGATTTGATCTTTGCTCAGAATCTGCAGAGCAAATGACACACTGCAGTTAACACAGATAAAAACTCAATTGGAAATACATTGTGCAGCGTTAAAATATTAAACATTTTAATGGTTGTGCACACCCACACTGCAAACTGACCTTTCTCCCAGGAGACATTTTAATATTTTGAAGCACAGGTGTAATTAAAAACATGATGGTTGTATTGATTCAGTCCAGGCAGGCCCAGCATCTGATAATGCACAGTGGCTCAGTGAAAAGGCTTCCTGTGCTGCTATTCCTCCCCCAGCAAAGCCAGCCCCAAACATTTCCAAGTACAGGTCTAATCATGCAAAATAATGACACTGACTGACTCGTGATGAATGTTTAAAGGAATAATGACAAGAATAAAAACTTTTAAAGCAGAAGCAGGCTTAATGTTTAACATAGATTATTCATCTGTTATCTTTTTATGTCAAAACCAACAACATGTTCAGTGTAACTCCAGTGACTCACAACATTTGGTTATATTATGCTGACAAAGTGCTGCAGGGATGAGTTCTGTGTGAAATAAAAGCTTATGATTCCAAAATGTTTTATTGAGAAATACTCACAGACCAACACTTTTAGAAATTTTGAAATGCAAAGCATCAACATAGGGCTGTTTGCAAACTGCACCATGGTTGCATAATTTCTAGCTGCTGCTCAAGAGCTTCATTTAGACAGCTGTTAGTAACCACCATCTCTAGGGCACTCAACAAGCATTAGAATTCACGAGTGGTGCGATTACTTACTTATTTTATGTAAAGGTCTTTGACACGTTTAAAAAACTGACTTTGAGACGACGAAAAGTTTAAGACCTGTTAGCTTCAGGCAGACATCCACTACAGTGAGCCACAGATGTCTGGGAAACTCACTTTTTTCTACTCCATAACAACCTTTTTTTTCCATTTTCAAACATCCATGTGGTGCTGACTCCAGTGACATCACTTGAACCAGTCTGTCTGGTCTCACAGATCTCTCTCTGAAATCACTAAAGGTTTTTTTTACATCTCTTTTTTCCACACTTGAATTCCCTGTTAATGGATAAAGGTGTGAAACCCATACAGCTGCTCTTTCAGCAGTCTCAGGGCATGTAACCCAAACGTCTCACAGGGGGAACAGCGACACCTTATGAAGCTACTTTCCACTGTTCCCTTGTCACAAGGTGTTACCTTTCATTTGAAAGATTCTTATGCTGGATGCCCTTCCTAACATAATCCTAAATTTATCCAACCTGAAAATGTGAACACATTTTTAACAAGTGGTTATCTGAGTTACTTCTGTCTTCTCCTGAGTTTGAGGTAGACTGGCCATTCTTCTCTGAGTTCTGATCAACAACATGTGGGGGGGGGGGGGGGGGGGGGGGGAATCATTCAAAGATGATAGTGTGGGAAAATCCCAGTGAATCAGCAGCTGAAGTAGTCATACCATCATCCCATTCTGATGCTTGGTTTGAGCTTCAGCAGGTCATTTTGACCTTGTCTACTTTGCCTAATTGCACTGAGTTGCTGCCATGTTATTGGCTGAATAGTATATATATATATATTTTTTTGTCAAGCTATGACTTAATAACAATGTGACTGGTCACTTGCAATGACCAGTCACCAGCGCTGAACCAAGGCCAACATTAGTTTTATATACGCCCTCATTTTTCCCCACCTTGGAGGAATTTGGAAATTGTGCATCACACAATTTGTCCAGCAGTGGGCGTAAACAGCGCTTCAACACAACGCCCTAAAACTTGTACCCAGACTCCCTGTGGTGTTATCTGCTTTTATCTTTATTTTGTATAATTAATGGTGTGAGAAGAATCGGACAATTTATTTAGTGAGAAAATCTTTATCAGCATTCATCGAGATGATGGATTTATCCAGTTAGTTACTGTCCGAGGAAAATGTTAAGATTTCTGTGGGAATTTGAGATTTTCCCACAGAGATTTTCATACAAAATTTATAATCAGTAAACTAATAAGAAGTATTTAAATCAATGAACTGCAATATGAAATGGAAGTTATGACAGCACCTTGAGCTTCGAAATAAAAATTGGAATCACTTGTGTTTTTAAAATCTCGGTCTATAAAATAACCTTTGCAGAAAAAACTGACGTAAACAAGCTTTTGGATTCAGATTAGGAATACGTATTTATCTAATCTAGTCCACACTTAGACCTGTTTTTCGTTAGTGGCAGCTCCGGCAGCTGAAGTTTATTCTCGGAGAGGGATTTATCATTTTAAAGTGCGCCATGCTGTTGTTGTGCGCTCACCTCTATGCCCAGCTTCTGTTTGAGGACCAGGGCGGCGCACAGGTACCCAGCCCGCCCTACAAACAGCTCATCCGAGCCGCACTCCAGAAAATGGATGGGAGCGCACACCTCCCACAGGTTACGGAATTTAGTCAGCGGCTTCACGAAATCAGCCAAGCCCAGGGACTTGTAGATCATAGCGGCCACAGCGTAGATGCCCGCCCCGCCGAGCAGGAAGGCGGCACGCATGTTTTTGTCCGGTTCCGCATCCACGTATCTGACCGACATGTCGATGATCTGCTTGGCCGTCTTCAGGTAGACATCCCGGTACTCAGAGAACAGCGGGAACTCGCTGACGTGATACAGCATGTAAGCCACCCCGGCCGGCCCATCGTATAGCCCTCCGTCGCAGTCGCTGAGGTCGATGGGAACAGTTTGAAGGATTTTATCTATGCTGGCGACCACGACGGGCACGGCAGCTTCGGCGCCCTGGCCCGGGAGCAGCGCACCTTTGTAGTCGGAGAAACGGTTGGCAAAGCAGCGAGTGTTTTCCATCACCGACGAAAAGCCGATAGAGACAGCACGACGTGCACGCAGGACCCACTGATAACGCAGATCCGTGTCAGCTACTCAAAGTATCCAAGAGGAGAAACACTTTAATCCAATCCCATCAGGTCTCAGCTGATTGGACGCGAGCAGTGATGGCTCAGCCTCATATTGGCTGGAAGGACCTGAGCCTGTCAGCCTCCAGCTTGCACCCTCTCAGCAGTCCTTCTAGAAGTAGCAGAGTCGCAAACAGCCACAACAAGCATAGAGAATGGTTTGGCCTCTTTTAACAGTAAATCACAACAAAAACAGGCTAAAGATGCATTTTAATGGGAAACTATGCAGTAAAATTCATTCAGGTGTGTATTTATTGGTTAGTAGTCTGCACAAGTCCTGAATGGTCATGAACATCAACCACTGAGACAGTTTACCCTTCATGCAGCCCGTGCATTTCCTCCTATTAAGATAACTGCGGGTGCTTCCAAGTGTTACAATAAACACAACCAATAATTAAACTTAAATAAAGTAGAATACATCAATAGAATACAAAACAATATGGCAAAATAAAGTAACCCAGTAAGGGAAAACCACACAGAAGACAGAATCTCAGTTACAAAGTAACATAAAATAAAATAAACAAGCTCGATATGTAAAAGAAAAGTAAAATTTTAATTTCTTATGTTAAAGCTGATCAAATTCAACTAGTTTTTTGAAACAACAGCTTGCTTCATGTTGCGCATACAATTGTACTATAACCCTTTGTGCTGTATGTTGTTGGGCAGTTAGAGATTTGCCATCATATTCTGTGAATTTATTTTGTATGACAAACCTGAATCTGGAACGGATCATTGCTCCAAAGAGGAAACTTTACTAATCCCTAAGGAAATGATGTGGTCACAGTTGCTCCCAAACAATAAGAACAGTAACAGACTGAACTAAACGAAATAACACAGTTATATTACAAAGTTTCCCGAAATGTAAAAATAGCTCAGTTATTATATCCAGAATATTGCAGAGGTGGAGTATATATGATTGACATTTTTATTCTAACCTGTAAAACATGTTATTTGTTATTTCACTCTAGAGGATGTGCAAAAGGGTTTAACTGCTGCACTGTGTCCTGTACATTAGATGGAGGAGAGAGCCACTGTCATGGTCCTGGGTCTTTTGACCCAGCGTTTTAAGTTTGAGTTTATTTTGTTCATTAGGTTATCTAAGTTCATTTGGTTATTAGACTCCTTGTGTTTTCTTCCCCTGTATTTAAGCTTCCCCTCACCCTTCGTGTTTATGTTATCAAGTTTGTATTATCATGCCTAAGTGTTTCTAGTTCTTATTATTTCCCCCTCCGTTTCCAACCATGTTAAATCTCCCCTGCTCTTCATGCGTTTCATGTCTGTGTCTTACATTGTCAAGTTCTGGTTGTCGTGTCTAAGTCTGCATGTTTCCTGTTTTATTTTGAAAAGGGGTCTTGTGTTCTGTGCTCATGCGGTTAGTTTTACTCTTGCCTGTGCATCATTATGTTTATCCTAGTCAGCTGTTTCCTCATGTGTCTCCACTTCCCCTAATCACCTCCTGTGTATTTAAGTCCTCTGTTTTCAGTGTGTGATTGTCAGGTCATCTGTTGTCCACGCCATGTTTCCGATGCCATGCCATGCTTCCAAGTTTCTTGTCTAGGTTTTTCTTATTGTTTGTTTAGATTCCCCAGTTTAGGTTTGTGTTAATTTTGCTTCAGTTTGCCTTGCCCTTTGTTTGTACCTTTTCTACCAGCCATATTAAACGGCTCGCCTTTTGTTAACATTCAAGTTTTGTTCCCTGTTCCTTGGAGTCTGCGTTTTGGGTCCTTTTCTCAATTCATACAGTCTGCCCTCGCCAGACTGTGACAGCCACAGGCAGGAATAATTTCCTGTGTTGTTCAGTGGTGCATTATGGGTAATACCAGTCTCTCACTGAACGTGTTCCTGTGACTGGCTAGCATGTCGTATTGTAGGTGGGAGGTATTATCTAGCATTGTCCTTATGTTGGACAACATCTGCCTCCCTGACACCACCTCAAGGAGTCCAGCTCTGTCCCCACAACATTACTGGCCTTGTGGATCAGTTTATTGGGTCTTGTGGCATCGATTCTCAACCTGCTGCCCCAGCATGTAACAGCATAGAGGATGGCACTGGCCACAACAGCCCCATAAAAAATCCTGAGCATTGACTGACAGATGTTAAAAGACAGCCGTCTCAGAAAACAGAGATGACTCTGGCCCTTCCTGTAAAGTGCAGAGCTGTTTTAACCCAGTCCAGGTTATTATCTATGTGTAATCCGAGATATTTATAGTCCTCCACAATGTCTACGTTGACCCTGTGGATTGAAACAGAGGTCAGAGGTTTCCTGGTCCTCATAAAGTCCACAATCAATTCTTTGGTCTTTGTCACGTTGAGCTGGAGATGATTCTGCTTGCACCATGTGACAAAGGAGTCAACCACAGCTACGCTGAGTCATGAGAAAACATCTGAAGATGTGCAGTGGCTGAAGTCTGTGGTGTAGAGGGTGAAGAGGGAAGGGAAGAGGACGGTCCCTTTTGGTGTCCCTGTGTTGTTGATCACCTTGTCAAAAACATAGTGTTGGAGATGCACCTATTGTGGTCTTCCTGTCAGGTAATCAACAATCCTGGACACAAACGGGGCATCCACCTGCATCGCTGTCAGCTTATCACCCAGGAGGATCGACCTGATGGTATTAAATGCGCTGGAAAAGTTAAAAAAAATAAATAACACGACCCTCGAAGTGCTTGCCTGCTGGTCCAGATGGGCGTAGCAGGTCCTGATCTCCAAGGTGGGGCTGGTAAGTGAACTGAAGGGGATCCTGATGTGGCCTGACTATAGGTCAGAACTGGTCAAGGATGAGTCTTTCCAGGGTCTTCATGACATGGAAAGTCAGTGCCACAGGCCTGTAATCCTGGGGGCCACTGGGAAATATCCAGTATGCTGGTTGGTACAGGAATGAGGCATAATGTGTTCTGCTTCCATGTTTGTCAATATAACTAATATTAACATCTTCTGCTGTTCATCAACGTGAACTCATTCATCTCACTTAATCATATTGACCAGCAGGTGGCGACAAAAGCCCGCAGGCTCACTCTGGCTGCTATCCATGGTGCTGAAGGACGCATGGCGCTGTTAATTGTGACAGAGAGTTCACTGAGCAGAGGATTACTTAACTGGGTCAGGAGCTTCGCTTCACCAATCACTTCAGATTGAATTGGTTGGTAAAATCAACTAACAGAATTATACAAACACAATAATGGGCGCCAAGTGACTACACAGAGACTCAAAATGCACACAGAGAAACAAACCAAAGTCAAGAGGGTGTATGGGAAAAAGTCCAAAAGAAACAAAATGAATACAAAAAGATCAGAAAAAACAACAACAACACAAAAGAGCAATTAAAAGACAGAAATTAACAGAGAGATTTCACTGCATTTGCTCACTTTCTACAAAACAAAGGTGAGAAAATCAAATGGCACACCAGCTGGAAATTTCACACCCACACCACAATTTAAAATAGGAGGAACACTAGCTTATTAGTGAGGGAGCACAAATTTATAACCTCTGTAAGAATTCAAATATCCAGCATACAAAGGAAAACTAGTTGGTGTGAAAAATGTCTTCTTTTTAATGAGCTACGCTTGGTTTAATTAGGAAGAAAATCTTCTTTTTTTTTTAGCAGGTCATGGTGGAAAATGTTAATATATAAAATGCATTGTTGTACTTTTCCTTCAGTAAAGAGTCTGAGTGCTTCTGCAAACACTGATTGAGTTCTCTCAATTTCAATTAAAAAATTCTTTGAGGTGTTTGTTATGTTATTATCCGAATAATTGCATTCCTTTTCTGACAAAGTCTGTAGTCAAATACAATGTAAATAAAGTTTTGCTTAGTTAGCTTTTATTGGCAGCGAGAGCCAAAGTTTTAACAAAACAATCTTGTGAACATTCAAGAGGACCTGTTGTGTTTTCCTATCACACGTCACCACAGTGGAATTTAAATCAAACAATCGAGATGTAATCGAAGTGCAGACTTTCAGCTGTAATTTCGAGGGTTTAAGAAAAATGTTGCATTAAATGTTTGGGAATTACAAATATTTTTGAAGTTCAGATACTCTGCTAGATCTTGATTTCACCCACCTTCAGCTGTAGCTTGTTTGTGGCGCATCCTCTGTCGGGCAGAGACCAGTCAACTGACTTAGTGATTGAAGAATATCCCATTTCTTTGCCTTGATTTGCTTTTGTACATTGCTGTGCATCACTATGCACTTGGCCAGAGAGATTTAGCAGCATTTGGCTCAATCTGAACAGAGACTATTGCACTGTACATTTCAGACATCATCCTGCTGTTTCCGTCGGCAGTCACATCATCAATAAGCTCTAATAGGCTGGTTCCACTCACAGCCATACACAGCCATGCCATAAAACTGCCTCCTAAATGTCTGATGGATGATGTGGGATTGGGGCGTGAGCTGTTCCTTCTTCTCTTTAATTTAAGAACATGAGACAAAGGGAACTTAAACACTGGCTGATTTGACCACTCAGACCCACAAGGTGAAACAAATACAAACAAACAAACAAAGACGCAAAAACAGTTACTTCAAACTTATAATCAGACACAACTGGTTACATACCTAAGCTAAATTATAAAGATGAATGGATTAATTACCCACCCTCCTGTGATGCTTGGTGTAGCCCATCCATCCATCCATCCATCCATCCATCCATCCATCCATCCATCCATCCATCCATCCATCCATCCATCCACCCATCCATCCATCCATCCATCCATCCATCCATCCATCCATCCATCCATCTTCTTCTGCTTATCCAGTTCAGAGTTATGGATGCCAGTTCACCTCAACAGCTAACTGGTACCCCTAACGCTGGTGAAAGAATAGAAATAATTTAAGAAATTTGAATATAATACACAAAAATTAACTAAATATGCATACTACAAACAGGGTTCATGTGTTCCAACAGTAAATATGAGTATGATATTTAAACTCAAGATTTACGTGTCATTATTTTTGTTTCTGTGTGCACTGTATGAAGTGAAATTCAGATAAACTGTATAAAAGCGAGGGTGCATGCAGT